CAACAAAGAGCCGGGAGCACTCAGATGCCCTCTCAAAGGTGCATTCGCCTCACGGGTCAAACAACACTTTACTATTTAAACATTAGGAAATCAAACATCACACACCTGCACATCTGGCATAAATGTAGCTTTACCCTGATAAGAAACCAGAGGTGAGGGTCTGTGCGTGCAGGGTGGGGCCAACCCAAGGGCAGACAGGTGACCAGAAGGGCTGAGAGCTTACTATGGAAGAAAGTGTTTTATTGACCTGTGTTCCACCCTCAGAACATTTCCCACTAAACCCTTAATCAGAAATCACTGAAGTGTGATTTCTTTTTTAAGAGGTAAGCATGGGTAGTTGAGAACTTGAACTGGCATTTATTTTGTTTCAAGGTGGCAATCTGAAGGAAAATGGACACTATTGATGGTTTACTGATTTGTCTTCTCCTTAAAAGTGAAATGAGAAAGGAGAATTGTTAAAGCTGAATTTTCTTAATTCTGCTTTAGAGTAATAATATTTGAAATATTTTCTTTTGGGTTGAGGTTTTTGCTGCTCACAACCCCCTTCCCCCCCCAAAACGAAACGAAAAGAAAAAAGACACCACGAAACCACCAAGAGCTTCTGACTGGCACTACTCACTTTGGAAATTCCACAGACTAAAAAGCATGAAGGGACAAGGCATCTGACAGGTCAATTTTGTTTTTCGAAAAAGCCTTCTGCCTCCCCGCCCAGTGGAATCCAATTTAAGAAAAGATTCCCCTTTTCCAATTTGTTTAATTTTCAGAGCCCCTTATTACTGTTTATTCGTTCTTAAAATTTCAGGATTCTAGTGTCTACAGCTCACGAGCAAAATTGGGGAAAATGGCTGGTGAGGGGAGACACACTTCTATTATGACTGGCCTCAAAATTCTGCTCTGCTAATCCTTGACTCACCTTTGCACTCCATCAGCCTTGAGAGTAATACAGGAGTTGGTTGGAAAAGCCCGACACCCAGTGGACATGTTTAGTACTACAGCCATTTCTCCGGAGCGGCGTTCCCTTTCCCCTGGGGCTTACAAACCGTCCTGATAGAAATGGTAAGAGCTGTGAACTACGTGGAAAAGTGAAAACTTTCACATTTTTTCATCTGAAACCTTCCTCACTTATCATTTCCACTGAGTCATTCATTTTCATCAAAAAGCAGAACGCGCGTCCTGAGCTTCCAATTTGCAGGAGAAGTTTCCACTTACCCTAGAGATTTGGGTTTAAGATTGCCTTCTAGTTCAAGTTTGCATTTTTCGTTTTGTTTTGCTTTGGGGCCACACCCAGCAGTGCTCAGGGGCTCCTTCTGGCTTGGGGCTCGGAGGTCCAGGCCATGTAGGGAGTTAATTTAAGCCTCCCTCATGCAGAGTACTTACTCTTGCCTGCTAGCCCTCTGAGCTATTCTCTGATACATATTACTTAGAAAAATCATTACTATTCTTACAGGGGACATCACAGTGACAGATCAGGACCAGGAACTTACCAGGGTTACTAAACTTGGGTATCAACAGGGCTATATCCAGAGGTACGGGGACAGAGGAGATGGGCAGTGAGATCCATGGAATCAAACTCAGCATCTTGCACGTGTCAGGTATGTGACACTGGTCTTCAAGTGCTATTTTTATTTCCTTTGGGTAGGGTGGTGCTTGAGGCTTGCTCCCAGTGGTGCTTGAGTGAAAATCCATGCTGGGGTTTGAATTTTGGGCCTTGGGCATGCAAAACGTGCTCAGGCCCACCCAGTTATCTTCCAATCCATTTAAATACTGCTGTTTCTCAAGGGCCAGGAAGATTGGTCCAGACTTTGAAGCCTGTCTCATGAGCTGGGGGAGAAGGCAGCTGGAATAGAGAACGGGTCACTAAGAAAATGATGGTTGGAAGGATCGGCTGGGATGGGAGATGTGTGCTGAAAGTAGATAAAGGACCAAAAGTGATGGCCTCTCGGTGTCTGTGTTGCAAACCATAATGCCCAAAAGTAGAGAGAGTATGTGGGAAATTGTCTGCCATGGAGGCAGGGGGAGGGTGGAAAAGGGGGAGGGCATACTGGGGAGATTGGTGGTGGGGAATGTGCACTGGTGGAGGGATGGGTGTTTGATCATTGTATGATCTTAACTCAAACATGAAAGCTTGTAACTATATCATAGTGATTCAATAAAATTAAAAAATATAAATTAAAAAAATACTGATGTGTTTTTAAGGTGAGGCTGTTAGGAGGCAATGTCATCATGGACGAGTTCAGCAATGGGGAGCCAGGGTACTGCGTTTCTACATCAGGTTCAGTCACGGGGCTCAGCCATTTGCCCTCCCTCAATGCCACTCCTCAGGTAGGTTGTGGGGTCCCTTCCTTTTTCACGTTCGCACTGGTGCTAAACTTCTGGGATCTGCCCTCAGTGCACTTTCTGTGGCCGAAGTGTCTCCTGGCCAACAGCGCTTCTCATCATGCAGAGACCACACCTGCCTCCCTCCACCCCGCTCCCCGCCACCCCTTCCATCCTTGGGCCTGGCGCCTCTAACCAGATCCCCTCCCCGCTTCTCAGCTCCCGAGTCAGAGCCAACATAGCACACACATCTTTCCCTTAGCTCATTTCAGATCCACTCAAAAATAGCCAACAAGACCAAAGACATTGATTTAATTAATGATGAATTTATCCCCTGCTTTTGGGGATCTCTAAATTGGCTCCCAGCTTTTTATGGTGCATACAGATTTCTACAATTTACTGTGTTTCATTGTGACTGTGTGGCTGCAGACTGCATCTTTTTATTTGAGGAGGGTCTCCCAGTCAGTGCTCAGGGACTCAGGACCCCTTAGTGATTACTGGCCAACCGGAGGTGGGGAGGTTTGGGACAAGTGTCTGTGGATGCAGTGTTGCGCCAGCCCCACAGTGCTCGAGATTACAGTTAACCGGCAGTGCTCGGGGTCTCCAGAGCCACGCCCAGAAGTACTTGTGGCGCCTCCAGGACTGTATCTGGTTGTGCTTGGGGGGCCAGGTGGTGCCAGGGATTGAACTGTGGGTCGGTTACATTCAATGCAAGTGCCTTAACTCCTGTACTAGAGCTCTTCATCTTGTTTTTGTTTTTGGACCACACCTGGCATGCTCAGGTGCTACTTACAGAGTACAACAAACACTGTGCTACTGGGAGAGTAAAATAAAAATTCTCATTAGCAATGTCCGTGGGCTGTTGGACAACTCTTATAAAATGTACCGGTGAGGGCACAGCACATTGGCAGCTCGTCACTTTTTGTGGGTACTCCCCATACTGACCCCATTCCCGTTCACTGTTCATGCTAGTCAGAACATGTATAAACTCTACATAAGCAGCAGATGATTTTGTATCCTTCTTTCTTTTTAGCTTTTAGGACATACCTGGAGCTGCTCAGGAGTTACTTCTGGCTCTACACTCAGGAATTACTCCTGGCAGTGCTTGGGGGACCATATAAGATGTTGGGAATCGAACCTGGGTCTTCTGCATACAAGGCAAATGCCCTACCCACTGTTCTACAGCTCTGGCCCTTCTTTTTTTTCCTGTGTGAAGCATACTTGCTCTCTTCAAAGCTCCCAGTTTCATTGGCATTTGTCTTTTGCTCTAATTCCAGCCCACGTAGTTTCTGGATTCTTGGAAGGCCATTGATCAGACAACCTGGTTCTCAGCTGCCTGACGGACAAAGAGGCTTTAACCTCTTTTTTTTTATTTTTGTATTTTGGGTCACACTCGGTGATGCACAGGGGTTACTCCTGGCTCAAGCACTCAGGAATTACTCCTGGCGGTACTCAGGGGACCATATGGGATGCTGGGAATTGAACTTGGGGTCGGCCACAGGCATGGCAAACGCCCTACTCGCTGTGCTATAGCTCCAGCCGTAGGCTTTAACCTCTTAATACAGAATACACTTTCAAATGAATCCCTTTGGGAGCTGTGGCTTACCAGGGTAACCCATGGATAGTATATATCTGGAGTTTGATCCGCTTTTCCAAATGTCCCCCCTTGGCTACTACCCCACCCCCCAGCACCACTGAATGTAAGCTGGTGGCTGCTGTAGTAATCAGTCTGAGCACTGAACTCAGGCTTGCTCCTTACCAAGTCTTACTGCTTGGGGTCCCTTAAGGAAGAAGGAAAAAGCAGCCTCAGCACCAAGCTCACACTCCGCTCATTGAAGATGCTCGCAGGGGGTTCCAGGCCCAACTCACTGAGCAATGACCGCAAGAGCAACTTTTCAAACCTCTTTATTTATAGACATTTCAGAACCACTGAGATCAACAATGACTTTCTTAGACATAACATACCATGTTTATATTGAGGTACACAATGGGCCCATTAGATAATGCTCTGGAAAGAAATACAACTGCTAACCAGCAGCTTAGAACCCCAGTTTTCCACACAAAGAAACTGCAAAGGTGGTCACAGAAATTCTTTGAAAAGAACATATTTTTACAAGTCAAGGGATACTCCCTCAATTTCCACTTGAGTTTAATAGTTAAACGTAGCCTAGACGATATTGAAAATGGAACTTGATATGAAAGAGCAGGGAAAGGTTCACAACTAAGAAATGATACGAGCCCTAATCCGTGACATTGTAAACAGAGGAAATTCATAATCTGATAAAACTCATCACAAAATTCATAGCCTAAAAATTAGACAGAGCAGCAAAATTACAGAAGATATTTATCTAGAGCGCAAATTAAAATGCTTACCCTTTGTTTCTGGCTTTCACAAATACTTTAAAACATCAAAATTTGAAGGCTAAATGGTGCGATTTGACAAGTGGCCACAATTCCCCAAATCTCCCTCTCACACAGGCACAGGTTCAATTTTCCCTTATTTGCACACTCTGCACATTTAATTCCTTGGGCCCTTGCTGCCTGGTGGCATGTGGTTACTAGAAAAGGTAAAGGCCCTCCCGTTGATCGTCGATTTGCTCGAGCGGGCCCAGTAACGTCTCCATTGGAGACTTTGTTGTTACTGTGTCTGGCATATCGAATACTCTCGGTAGCTTGCCGGTTACTAGAAAAATAATGGGAATTGAATAACGATCCTAATTTCTACAAGTCCTGCGTGTCCACCAGCAGACTGGACTCATCTCGCAGACTGCAGTTGAGAAAATGTCTTTGAAGAGCTTGTGAGGTTCTTTGGAGAACTGTTTGGCTTTCCCGTTGGTTATTCAGAATGTTAGTCCTTTACTGTTTCAGCATGATGAATAATGATGTTGTACCAAAGTGTTTTGTTGTACAAAGTGTTTGGAAAATGAAGGACCCTCTATCCACCCGCACCTTCTCCCTGGACTTGTGGAGAAGCTGTACGGATGATGTACAGGTGGTTCTGGAATGTGAGCGGAGTGTGTTTATAATAGCATCTGAAAACAGCTGGAAGGATGTCATAATATTTCCCACATGATTGTCTTCGTCTACATCAACAAGAATAAACACTGCTGTTTAGTTGAAAGGGCAACTTGCTGCCATGTCCTGAACCTGAACGGTGTCTGGGGGTTCAAAGAGGAGAACTGTTTATTTCACAGTTCATAAGCAGAACTTGCTGGGTCTATGAGATTCGGACATGGAACTGATCTGAGGGTTTCGTTCTCTCAACACAAGGCACATCCACATTTTACCTTTTGGCTGCCTGGTTTGGTTTATTGCTGATTTTCTTTCCTGACGGGGTATTTGCACTGTGAATTTAATTTCCCTCTCCAAAGGGTGCTTCCTGGACCTAAAGCACTACAGTTCTCTGTACCAACTACAGGGAACTTTCCAGAAGATGAATTCAGTCTTGAGTAAGTTGGCTGGAAAAGGTTGTTGGCGGGCATCTCTATAGGGAACTTTTCATCGCCCCATCTTCGTGGGGAAGGGCCTTTCCTTCCCACCCGGTTCCTGCAGGCTGGGCCTGACTCTCTGCCTGTGCCTGCCTCCAGTGGAAGGACCTCCGGGGCTTTACAGATGCCAAAGAGATTTACGACAACGACAACCGCCACAACAAAAATTCCCAATCTGGAAGAGAACACTTGCCAGGGTTACTTTCTGCCTTCAACTTACTTCAAGTTTTAATGATCTTGTGGCATCCATTTTTTACCCCTTTAATAGCGGCTGCCATTTCTCTCATTTGGGGGTCCTTTAAAGATAAGACACGCTCAAGTCTCCCAGCAGCCAACTGCCCGAGGCCCGCACAGGTCCCCTTCACACACACCCAGTCTCTCTCAGCCGCTGTGCTTAAATATAAACATCACGAGCTCCAGATGGGCAGTCGCTGAGTCTCTGTTTTAGTATTACTGAGTGCCGCCGGCCTAGGGCCTGACATATGAAAGATGCCCAGTGAGTCTGGAGTCAGTGAGTCAGAGGCCACAGCGCCTGCCCTTAAGGGGTCTCCACGCTGCCCATCACTATTAACTTGACAAAAATATCCCAAGATAAAAAAAACTCAGAAACAGTGGTGTCAAGATTTCACAAAAGAATCAAAGAGGAAAGATAAAAAGGCATTTGCTGTTTCTGTGGGGTTAACGGTTTTTGAATCAATTCAGGAAGGGTCTGCCCAAGAAAATGTGCAATGTTTTCATCTCAGCCTCTTGGATTTTCCTTTGAAGGGAAGTTCTTAGAGGTGGGTCTGGCTGTGGAAAGAGGCCTTTCATGTCGGGAGTAACTGAGGGGGCCTCATGGCAGGTGGGCAGTACCCGCAAATGTTGGTGACTTTCTTTTGTCTTTTTAGTTCTTGTGCCACACCTGGCTGTGCCCAGGATTTACCCCTGGCTCTGTGCTCAGGGATCGTTCCTGGTGGGCAAGGGGGAACATATGGGATGCCAGGGATCAAACCCAGGTCAGCTGCATGCAAGGCAAACACCTTACCAGCTGTACTATCTCTCTGGCCCTGTAGTAATAACTTTTGACAAAACTCACAGGGCAGTTCTATGGGGTTCTTTTGACTGTTACTATTTACATTTGACAGGTGTGTGTGGGTGGGCGTGGGTCTGAGAGAAATGCCGTTTCAAATGGAAGAAATGTAAGACAGAAAATGAAAGGAGATATAGTTGATCTCAACTCTAAACCAAGAGAGGAATCAAAATATCTTCCTAAAGCAAAGGAAGACATATTATTGCACAGGTTTACAAAACTAGACTGGTGGGTCTTTAAATTTATTTATTTTGGTAAGCAGGAAGTACAGTAAATATAAATGAATCCCCAAGTCACGGTCACACCTGTCTGTGTATACTTCTAGACTCTGGGGACAGATGGTATGTGTGTAGGCTGTCGGGGGAGGGAGTGTGCAGGGGTGAGGCTTTGTTTGGTGAACTAAAACTTTCCCAAGATTTCTAATTGTTCAAAAAAGTCTAGAATGATGATGCTATTATCCTCTGGAATATTTAATTTGGCAACAAGTGTTAGACTAATGTTTTGAAATTCTTGGAATAAAAGTATGTAATGATGTATTTTCTTTGGAAGAATGGAAAGGAAGAGCAGAAAGTTGATCAACTAAACAAGTATTCATTAAGACTTTGAGATTATTCAACAGATGTAGCACATATCACAACTAATTTGACTTCTGAGTTCTCCTAAAGCATAAAGCACGTTGAAAATACCTAACTTGCTCTTGGAAGTGGTCCTCAGACCTCTCATTGTCAGACATCAGTACAGGATGAGTTTACAATCAAATTTCACTCTTAAACACAAACTCTTGACTGATCTGTTCCAAGTTTTCAGGGACGAAGCCTAAGGAGACAGCATCGAGGGGGCAGGATTGAGAATCTTTGGAATCACTTCGGTCCACTCGTCCTAAGAGAGCCGCGATGGATATTTGAAAACAAACAGATGTTATCTAAAAATATCAGACTCGCATTATGTATACATACACATAAGTATATGCATATGTACATATATGTATATATTTTCTTTTCTCTGCTCAATAAAATTAGCAGCAGTTACAGATAAATTGTGGTCACGTTTGTATTACTCCCAAGGGCATCATATATCATCTGTCAATACACAACTTTTGGAAAATATCTTCTGAAGGAAAGATCCCCACCAAGCATGTAACATTAAAGTGTCATTTCATACCACTAACATTTTCAGGCACAAGAGTAAAACAATTAGCATTTAAGCAATCCATACAAACAACAGAGCACAGAACAGAGTGAATTGTCTAAAGTAGATTCCCCCCCAAAGCAGGGAATTATTGTTCAAAAGTGTTTTTATTTTTAAAGATTCTTAGTCTGTCTTTCAGCTTTGGCTACTTTGTAATAAATATCATACCTTCTCCCATACAATACTCCCAAGAATTACTTCTCTGAATATGCCTTCTGTCTTTTAGCAGCTGTTGAGTGTTGAGTGTTGAGTGACGTACAAGGCACACCTCCAAGTGTTCTGTACAGCATTTTTATTGATGTACAAAATAGCCTGTTCCCCATTCAAAAGCATAATCTGCATAGTAAGAGTTTCTCTTATCCCTATTTACAGAGAAGGTTTTTAGTGCAAAAAAAAAAAAACCCCACAAAAATCCCAGAACAAAACAAACAAACAAACAAACAAAAAAACCCTCAAAAACATGACACTGCGTCCCAGCCCACCCCTCTAGCATACAAATTGGTCAGTTTTGTCCAATGCCAGCTGGGGTTCCTTGGCTATATTTTGGGCCTCCAGCCATGAATGAATTGCATTATCTTCTTCACCTGCAGTTTGCTCAATTTGAAATCCTCCGAGAGGATCTCCTCCGTGAGCTGGACCAGCAAGTTGCCATCGATCTTTTCGGTCGCAAAGAAGGCGATGACGTCCTCCGACAGGCCAATGAACCGTAAGCACTTGGCCACCTCTTCGATGGAGAGTCCGGCCAGGTCGGCGGGGGGCTGCCAGGGCGAGCCGTCGCCGCAGGAGCGCGGGGCCAGCTGCACGTGCAGCGGCGACGAGAAGGGGTAGGGCCCGGGGAAGAGGTCCTGCATGCCCTTTGGCACGAAGTACTGGTCCTCGGAGAGGTCCGGCGAGCCCGACGGCGGGTCTTCCTCAGCACCATCGATTTGCAGAGGCAACGGGGAGGTTTCGGAGGCCGTTTTCTCTTCCGCTGGCTTCGGGGCCCTGGGCGGGAGCGCGGGGCACGAGATGCTCTGCTTGGCGGGGCCGGCGGCCAGCGCCTTGTCCTCGGTGCTCTCCAGGGAGTAGCTGGCCGACTTGGGGCAGCCCTGGCCGCCGCCGCCGCCGCTGCATCCTGCGGGCTCGGGGCTCGGGGGGCTGCCGGGGGGCGCGCGGCCGTCCAGCTCGCAGGGCGCGGGGCAGTTCCTCTTTGGTGTGGCCGGCGCCTTGGGTCGCGGGTAGCTGTAGCTGCGGCTGGGCTCCTGCAGGAAGTCACTGCGGGTCTGCGCCTCCGACGCGCCCAGGTAGTGGTTGGGCCACGACAGCCGCGAGGACAGCGCCTCCGTGGCCGGACTGCCCAGCGGGGATTTGAGGTCCCCGGCCTCCGCCTTCACCCGCGGGCACGGGTAGCAGGAGACCGGGGCGCTCTCGGAGGGGCTCGGCTCACTTTTAGGAACGCTGCTGAAAAAGCAAACACAAGAGAGGGTGATCAGGCCAGAACAATACAAAGCCAGGGCCGGAGCAACAGCCACAGCAGGCAGGGCGCTTGCCTTGCACGCAGCGGACCCCGGTTCAATCCCCCGGCATCCCATAGGGTCCCCCAGCAGTGCCAGGAGTGATCCCTGAGTGCAAGTGTGAAGCCCTAAGCATGGCCAGGTGTGACCTAAAACCAAAAAATTAAAAAACAAACAAAAAAATCCCCAGCTAAACTTACCCAAATCTTTCCTCGTCCCATACATGTCACTTTCTAGTAAAAAAAAAAAAACTGTAGTTAAGGGTTGGGGGAGGATGCTTTTTTTTTTTTTTTTTTTTTTGCATCAGAAATTCAATACAGGCCCCGCGAATCTCAACGGGGTTCATAAAGGAAAGATCTGGAGGGCAGGAGAGATGGCTCAATGAGCTAGACGGCTGCTGGAGGCTTGGGTTCCATCCCTGATCTCTGAGTCGGGGAAACCCCTGGGGAAGCCCCCCCCCACCCCCAACCTCACCCCAGTACTGCCAGGTGTGATCCAAAATACCAAATAAAAAACAAGTGACAGAAATAAAATCTTTGATGTTGACACCAGTGCTGCAATTTGTGTCCATTAAACTACATCTAAGTGAATCACCAGTGGTCTACACCGATGGCCATGTGTAAAAGCATTAAATAAAATGTGTCTAATTATGCATCCGGATATAATGATTTAAAACACTACAGATGTCCAGTACATTCTTTGCTCATGTACTACCCAGGAGCCCCTGGGAGCAGCGATGGATGATTTTGGAGGGGGGTGTGCAGCAGCCCTGGGTCAGCCACAGGTCTACCAGGGGGAGTGAGAGCTTGTGGCCCATCACTTCGGGTTGGCTTCTTTATGCTCTGTGACACTGTGACATTACCCCCCCCTCGCCCCCAATTTCCATTCAGTAATGTGAGGAAGGGAGAAATATTCCAAAAAAACCCCAGTTATCTGTCCTGGGTTCTTTATTTTGTTACTGTGCCACACCCAGAGGTGCTCAGGGCTTACTCCTGGCTCTGTGCTCAGGGATCACTCCTAGCAGAGCTCAGGGGAATCATCAGAGTGCCTGAGGAGCAAACCTGGGTCGGCATCATGCAAGGTAAGCATCCTTCCCTCGGTGCTATCGCTCTGGACCCCACAGAAGCATGAGCCACTTACAGGACAACTTAGGGGGCTTTCGTCACTGAGTCTCGCATCTACTTTGTCTGTTTTCCTTCTGGGACATTGTTCCAGAGACTCCCTTGCAACTCAAAACATACAGGGGCTCCATCATTCTCTTCAGTAATATCAAAAAAATCATCCCCCATGGGAAAAAAATAAATAAACAACCCAACTAAGAATATCTGTGTCTCCCACATCCTGCAGGTCCCCATCTCATGGAGTGTCTGTAGGAAGCCAGGCCCAGCCCAAGAGGGGACTCGTGGGCACGCAGGCCTGGCACAAAGACTTACATGTCGTGGAGCCCTGAAGAGTAGTAGGACAGGGTGGGGCTGGGCGAGCGTGTCTGTGGCCGCGCGGGCTTGGCGGTGCGCGGAGGGATGGAGGGGCTGGTGGACAGAGGCTTGGCGCTTCGGGGCGGAACAGGTGGGGCGTTCAGGAGACGGCATTCTTCCCTGACCTGGTGGGAAAGAACACTCTGGGTTAGCCGTGCTGGCCAACTGTCTGTTCTCCCACAGTTCTCAGGTGCGAGAACGAGGGTGGGACTTGCGACCATCCTGGCTAACACGAAGACTGGCCAAGCACAGAGTGACCAGTGGCCCGTGCGTCCCAGCTGGGAACGGCCCATCTGCACAAGGAAATGGCTTGGTGACAGCCAGGTGTCGCCAGGACATAAACATAGCTCAGGCTGGAGTGATGGGTAAGGATTAGGGAAACACTAAGGAGGACGTAAGCCACCCTGATCTGAACGCAAGATTAAATTCTCTGATTCACGGTTCCACGGAATCCAGTTCGACCCAAGCCTTAGGGGACGCTGAACCTTCTCCAGGGCCACATATTGCTGCCTCCCACTCGGGGTGTCTTTGCCTCAACTAGGAATGAGCAGACTGCAAATTACTGGGCACAGGGGGGCGTGAGAGCATGCCTTTCTCGCCAGCTGGGGGACACTGGACAGAAAGCAAACCCAGCCGAGTGTGCTTCGAGCCAGCAGCGCTCTGTCCTTCCTCCTTGCCCCCTGCAGAGAGGATCTGGAGCACATTCAGGAGTCAGATCAGCCCACCACCCAGCCTGTAGACCCTCGGACGGAGCAGACGCCTTGGAACGAATCTGGGCACATTTGAAAATGCACTTTTGCATGTCCGCCAGCAGGGGGCAGTTTGTCCCTGGTTCTGTGACTTTACCCTACAGAACATTGGTTAGTAAAGAAGGCAAGTCAATCTCATAAAAAACGCCAGCCCCCCCTCCCGCCACCCGCCCCCCCCCCCCCCCCCCGCTCCGAGGTCCTGCATCTTTTGCATCTGTACCTTCTATTCCCTTCTTGCCAGCAGTTCTGGGATAATAAAAACCACGAGACAGGCACTTCCTGTCTGCTTTGTTAGCAATGAAATGAGCTTTTAGCACTCACTCATAAGGGGCTTCCCAAGTCTGTCCTCTCCCCAGAGAAAACCCCAAAGTTGAGGTCCTGTTGCCCTGGGGAGGAAGCAAAGGCTTCTACCTGCAAAGGTAGCGATTTAAGCTGAGGCTCAGGTGGAGAGCATGGGGTGGCAATACTCATGCATGAAACACAGTCTCACTAATAGGACTCAAATTCACTGGGCCTCAAACAGAATGTAAAAATGAAGAGTTTTGGAGGATATCTAGCATCCACAATGTGGGATTATAATGTGGTATACCTGAAACCTATGTAATGTTACACACCACTTCTGCTTCAATAAAAAAATATATATATATATATACGGGCTGGAGCAATAGCACAGCGGTAGGGCGTTTGCCTTGCACGCAGCAAACATGGCGGACCTGAGTTCGATTCCTCCGCCCCTCTCAGAGAGCCCGGCAAGCTACTGAGAGTATCTTGCCCACACGGCAGAGCCTGGCAAGCCACCCGTGATGTATTCGATATGCCAAACACAGTAACAACAAAATCTCCAATGGAGACGTTACTGGGCCCGCTGGAGCAAATCGATGAACAACGGGAGGGCCTTTACCTTTACCTTTATATAGGGGTTAGAACAATAGCAGAGCACGTAAGGCATTTGCGTTGCATGTAGTCGACCTGGGTTCAATTCCCAGCATCCCGAGCACTGCCAGAAGTAATTCCGGAGGAGTGCATGAGCCAGGAGTAACCCCTGTGCATTGCTGAGTGTGACCCAAAAAGCAAAAAAAAAAAAAAAAAAAAAAAAGAAAAGAAAAAAAAAAAGAAAATAAAAAAAGGCCAAACATAATGTAAATTTAGAAAGTGTCATATGTGACACTCTGCTTCTTCCAGGACTGGGTCTCCACCTGGAGGGTTGATGACCCCAGGGCACAGCCCCATAGAGATCTATTGATCAGAAGAAGCCCTTCTGGGGAGTAGTTCTGCTCTTCAAAGCAACAGGCTTTCTTCCCCCTCGAGCTTTTAACAAGATGGTGGGGGTGGGGGACACAGTACAGAGCCCTGCTTGATCTGGCACTGTGGGTGCCTCATTTTGGTGGCCTTGCATGGCACCACTGGTCTGCCTATGTGGCTGAGACTTGCCAGGAGGGACCCCCAGACCTCCTGAGTACTGTCAGAGGTCGTGGCAGCAATTGAAGGCTGGGGAGAAACTTGGGAAGACTTGCGGTCAGTGTAAGGTCACCTAGCCTGCCTACAGGGGTGCCTGCGTCATTCCGGGGTCTCTTTTGGGCAGAAGGTATTGAACCACACGGGTTGACGCTCAGAGTTTGGGTATATCCTGGCAGTGCTCGGGACAAGCACCTCACCCCTGGTACTCTCTCTCCAGCTGGGACCTTAAGCTGAGAGGAAGGACACAGAGGTTCTGGCTTATCACCCCACACCCAGGTTTTTGGGTGGTGCATACCAGTTACAAAATTAAGTCACCAAGATACATCATACAGTGGGTAGGGTGCTTGCCTTGCACGTGGCCGGCCTGGGATCGATCCCTGGTACCTCATGCAGCCCCTCAAGCATCACCAGGATTGATCCCTGAGCACTGAGCCAGGAGTAAGACCTGAACAGAGTCCAATGTGGCCCCCAAACAAATAAAAACACATACTGTCATCTTCTTGCTGCGTGAGTCAAGTACCCAACTGCCTTTCCACCTTTCTTTGGGAAACTCAGAGAATCAGGATGGACCCGTGCAGCAGTACCACAGATGTGCTTGGTTCTATGTAGTTGGAGAGAATCATGGAAAGTGTGAGGCGATCATGAGCCCATCAGTTATTATAAGAGGCATGTTTGCCTGGTCTGAGGCCACACCCAGCAGTGCGAAGGGGCCCGCTCCTGGCTCTATGCTTGGTTGGGGATTGCTCCCAGGGCTGCTCAGGCGAACCCGAGCTCAGGTGAGCACAGCGCATGCTCAGTGAGTTGCCCCTTCAGGCCTGTCTGCTGACATTTAAGAATTTAAAGTAATCCCTTCTCAGTACCCAGGGAGATGGTTTGCCGCTAAGCAAATGTTGGATTTGATTTAGAAAGACAGTTGGAAATGATCAAGAACTGAGTACTGAAAATAGGTAAAGGCATATACATGATAACCTTTCAATAATACCTGTACTGCAAACATAATGCGAGAGAGAGAGAGAGAGAGAGAGAGAGAGAGAGAGAGAGAGACAGACAGACAGACAGACAGACAGACAGACTGGGGGCAGTAGTAGACAGAAACTGGGGACATTTTTGGTGGGAAACGTACATTGGTAAAGGGAAGGTTGCTGGAACACTGTATGACTGAAACCCAATTACGAACAACTTTGTAGCTATGTATCTCACAGTGATTCAATAAAAAAACTTTCAAAAGAGGTCTAACAATATTTCTCAATCCTCTTCTGACTGAGGTCCCTTCAATCTTATTTTCTTTCTGTGGCCCCATCTTAGCAGATGGTCCACTTGTCTCCTGCCATGAGCACCCCTTCTTTGCTTTATCTTCACCTGTGGCCCCCTTGGAATATCACGTGGCCCCTTCTTGAGAAACACAGGATCTACATGACGGAATTAGTCATTAAACTGGCTGTCTCATTAGCAACGCTCCCAGACATCACTGAGGCATTGTGAGATGCCAATGGCCACAGGCACGAGCATCACGGAAACTCAGGGACCCACGCTTGGAACTCAGGAAAGCAGTGACTGGCCATGGACTGTGACCTTGGGAAGGCTTTTCCCCTCCTGCTCTGCTGACCTGCCTGGCGCCAGGTCATCTGAATGTGGCTCTGCCCCACCCCCACCCCCACCCCCACCCGGACAGTCTGCCAGTCTTCACTGGGGGGGGGGGTGTGAAGATGAGGCAGAGAAAAGATGCATCTGGTGGTGGCAGTGCCCACAGCGGCTACAGCATAGTGGGCATGCTGACTGCCAACCTTCAGGTGGCCATGAAGATACTGAAAAGGTTTCGGTGTGGCCACTTGACACCAGAGAAGGGGGAAAGAATGAGAGAGAGAGAGAGAGAGAGAGAGAGAGAGAGTTAGGAGATGTAGTGTGTCAGCAGTCAGCAGTCTTTCTCTGGGCCTGGAGACAGACTCTGCTGTGTGGGAGGACAGTGAGTGTCCTCACCAGAGGTCAAAGGGAAGGAATTCTCCTTCTGCAAGGAGGCGGCGGGATGATGCTCAGGGCTCACTCCTGGCTCTCCTCTCAGGAATCTCTCCTGGCGCTGCTCAATGGACCATGCAGGGTGCCGGGGATTGAACTGAGCTCAGCAGCAAGCAGGGCAAATACCTGACCCATGAACCAGGCTCCCTGAAATCCAGGTTGGGTGAAAAAGCAATTCAAAATGAAACTAAATAAAAACAGTCTTAAAGGGGCTTCAGTCATGATAAGAATTGAGCCGCTATTTTGCTGAGACGGAAGATCAACTTCTAAATCTCTTTGTATGGCATATATGATTTTTGCCTGTGTGCCACTACACACTGAGATGACGAATGTCCTATAAATGTGCTTTATTTTGGCTAGAGGCACACCCAGAAGGGCTGTGGGGGGCCATCTGGGGTGTGAGGCACGCGCATGCCCTGCCCACTGGGCTACCTCTCTGGCTCCAGCTGCATATCCTTAACGTAGCAGTTTTTGGATACAGGAGGCTGAAATGTTTTGGTGAGCTGCTTTCAAATTTGAGTTTCACTTTTAACGTTACCTAGTTAACTTTCTCGCAAAATGAAAGTGTAACATGAAAACTTGGGGCCCCAGTACGCAGGTTCATTCGGGAAGGTCCTTAACTGCATCTCCTGAAATCAAAGTTCACTACAATCCACCGAAATGATCGCCTTTGTGGGCCCTAAGCAAGTTGAATGATAATGCTGTATTTACTGGAAACCTATGGAAGTTATAAACTACTCTCACTTCAATGGAAAATATGCACACATACATTAATTTAAAAAGTATCATATGTTTGGGATTTTTTGATTCCACTTTCATCTGTTTGGGATTCAGAGGTCACAAGCAGGAGGGCTTATGATTTCCGATCTATACACTCTGATGACCAGTATTCATTTTGGTACTGG